TGGTTATAATTACTTGCTAACTTACTGTTATAAATTGATTTCATAAAAAATATAAGCGATTAGGGAAGGCAATACAAGAGAGAAGTGCAGAAAACAGACTATTGCGTGATTGGGATGCCACCCCCAAACATTTTTCGTGTCTAAAAAACTTTGCAACTGCATTACTCTCCATGTTTTCATCGACATATTATGCTTGTGAGTCTGTGTTCCCAGTTATAAACTTTATTAAGCCTCGTAACGGGAGTAGCCTGGAAGATGCAACCAGTAGTTCGTGTAATATTTAAAACTCAATGTAAAATCCCTATCAGCGGTAATGCAGCAGCAGAAGTGTCACTGATATAGATAAGAAAAGTAATCAAGTGTATTTGCGTACTGATATTTTCCCAAATAGTGAATCTGTCTGTACATGTTCACTAGGTTTTTTATATTGTATTTTTGCTTTGAAAGTAGCAAAACATTGCTTTTAATTTTGGTCGGCACGCGGAAGAATTTTGTTGTTAAATTTGGCAGATTTTGGCACTCGAGCCAAAAAAGGTTGCCCACCCCTGGCCTAGGGCATCCGAAAGACATGATCCGGCCCTGGTTCTAAGTGATCAATTATAATATATATTGTAAATATTTTTCAATTTGCTAATTTTACATTTTCTTCCCTTTCAATGTATATATTCAACAACAAACTAAAATTTGAAACGATTTCATTGCTTACTGAAAAATAATATAGGCCTACTATTTTAGTGAAGTATAACAATTTTATTACACAGCAATGCATTATTTCTACTTTTCGAAATTGAAGAAGGCATCCACTTTCAGCATATTGTACTGATATTTATCAAAACCCTTATATCACTGATCTGCACGAGGCAAACTGAATTCATTTTTAATAATGATTGCACTGTCACAGTATTTTCATCTGTAACTAATTAGCCGATAATCTGTCCCACGGCCACAGATTCTCAACACTGATCCACTGCTCTATCTCATTATCTTATCTTCGACCCACTGCCATACCTCTCTCCCAGTTTCTATTCATTCAGCCATCCAATTATCGACCTGCGGCCATATCTCTCTCAGCCCTCCTACCCCCGACCCACTGTCTTATCTTCCTCGACCCACTGCCCCATCTCCCTCAGCCTTCCTACCCCCTGCTCCACCACCCTCCCTGTTTCCTATCCTCGAACTACTGCCATACGTTATGCTCGGGCCCCTACCTCAGCCTTTCTGCCCTATCTACCTCCCTGTCTCCCATCCTAGACCCACTGCCCTATGTTTCTTTGACTGACCCACCGTGCTATCTCTTTCAGCTTTCCTATTCTTGACCAGCCCTTCTGTATCCTCATTCCACTACCTGACCTGCCCCGGATCCTCCTGCACTCGATTCACTCTAACATACTGGACGCCATGATCGTCATACTCAACCTTCCTTGCTTGCGATTATGCAAACTTTCAGGCTTTATACAGCTTGAGCATGTCAATGAAATTATTGAAGCGTACGTCGAGGAAAGGTTGGCAGCATGTGTAAGATATTGTTATGGGTATATTTGAGTATGAAACAAATTTACTGCTTCTCTTCTCTGAGTGTAAATAATGACGTAAATGTTTGGAATATTAGAATGGGGTCTTATTTAGATCATTTGTCAATTAATGTAGGCTTAATGCCTGGAACCTCAAATGGTAATCAATTTTAATTTGAAGACCATGATCGTTCTCGTCGATAGAAAGGATGAAATTTTTGGAAGGTGGCGCCGATGTGCAATGTTTTCGTTGACAAACGGTTGCAAAGACAAAGCGGGACTGTTTCGAAACCAAGGCGACTGAGCGGGAGCGCTGTGACCCATTGGTCCTACCGGTAACGTTTGACAATTTCAGCAGTTGGAGCCTGAAATTTTTGATATCGATATAGTTTGAATAAACTCGATTCGAACCTGGCAATCTATAAGGGTTGTAAATGCATCCCTAGCACGATGCGCTAACCGCCGAGCTATTCGGGCGTTGCCGGTAGCTGGCCGCTAGGTCGGGCATTTGGTAGCTTAGGAATATGCTACTCCTACCCAATGTATAGGCTACGTATTCTAGTTGTCAAAACTTGCTATGCTGCTACGCCCGTAGTTCCGCGTCGTATTTAGCCTCGGTGACCCGAGAAGAAAATCCCCCATGACGAGAAAACTCTTTCGTGAGTTCTCGAGAACAAATGTTTCGAACACTACCAATGTGTCTACTTCCCTGACGGTTTCCTATAGCTTACTCGACCCACTGCATCATCTCCCTCAGCCTTACTCGGTTTCCTATCCTCGACTTGCTGCCCTATCCCCGACCCATTACCCTACCTCGCTCCCGGTTTCCTATCCCCGGCCCGCTGCCATATCTCCTTCAGCCTTTCCATCCTCGACCCGCTGCCATATCTCCCTCAGCCTCACCATACTCCTCGACCCTATGCGGTATATCTCCCTCGGTCTTCTCTCGCGACTGCCGCTATATTCCTTTCCCGACCCACTTTGCTATCTCTTTCCTATTAATATATGGGTATACGTGGTGTATTGTATATATCTGTATATTGAATTGAAAAAATAGTGCTGTCCGCCTAATATTTTTGGCTTTTTGATGTTTTTAAATTTGTTATGTAGATGTCAGCTTGACTGTATTATGTCGGATATACATTCTAATTCGGCCTTTCAATAATCCTTCTTAGTAAACCCTTGATCGTGCTGAAGTGGAAATCGTCATGATAGCAACCAAAACTACAAATTTTAGTGGGATTTAGCATTTGATGTGGCTCACTAAACTGATGGCTCTGAATCAGCACATTGCAAACTGTGCAAATTCACAATTGTTCCAGGAGTTTCAAATATGTTAAATCGTGAGGTTTTTGTACTTTGTTAAAATTGTTAGCTTTTTCTGCCTTGATTTGGCTTTTTTCATCACTGGGATCTGGCAACCCTGGTAGTGTGGCGCAAACACGCCGTGTTTCAGTAGTTTGGAATCAAATGAATGTTGATGGCAGGTTTGTAACGGCAGATGTCTTAGAAGATCGTAGAAATTGATGCTAATGGCTCTGATGCTATATAGCAAATTGTGCCTTTATCAGTTCCTCACCCGTCTCAGTTACGCAATAGAAAATATATATTCCTCTGCCGTAGACACCAGCAGGGCTTTCATCCGCGGCCAACGATAGGATACTATATAAGACTTCTTAATCAAAGCCGACGCAGAATATGAGAACAATAACCTGTTCAATGCACGCCTCTCGGCAACAAGAAATACGAGATAGCGATCAGAGACCGCCGACTTATCGATCTAGCGGCGGCGTGTATTCTTCGCTCTGACCCAATAGCGACACCGCGTGTCCCGCCACTGATTAATTAATAACTCGCCAATTATATGACATAATTCATCCAAAATAGGCTTCTGCTCCGAGATATGATGAATACACATGCAAAATTTACCCATTATTTAAATATACCCATAACAATATCTTACACTACCGTCAACCTTTCCTCGACGTGCGCTTCAATCATATCATTGGCATGCTAGAGCTTTATAAAGCCTGAAAGTTGCGTAATCGGAGACAAAGAAGGTTGAGTATGACGATCAGGGCGTGCAGTCGTGATTCGAGTGCAAAGGATTTCGGGGAGAGTGGTCAGTGGGATGAAGATACAGAAGGGCTGGTTGAGTTTAAGAAAGAAGTAGTGCAAAGAGGAGTCACAGGGTCGGGGATGGGGAGATATGGTAGCGGGTCGAGGATAGGGAAGCTGGGGGGGATGGGCCAGTGGGTCGAGGGTAGAAAGGCTGAGGGGGATAGGACAGAGGGTCAAAGATAGGAAAGCTGAGTGAGGTGGGCAGTGGGGCATAGGGCAGCGGGTCGAGGATAGCCACGATGAGGGAGATGGGGCCAGCGGGTCAAAAATATGAACGCTGGAAATGGGTCAGGGTTGGGGAGAGGTGAGGCTGCGGCCGTAGGACATTATCAATTTTCTTACAGTACCTTTTGTTTTCGAACTAAAGCTGGCCGGTAGTTGATAAAGAATTTTTCCTCATATTTAGAGTTTAGCAGTTGGTTAATTCAAAACTTGTAGATTTGTGTCGCATGACCTTTGCTAACATTGTTCATAAAGTTGGCAACCCTAATTAAAGGGCAAGGACAGAAGACCTCAATTGAAGGACTGCCCTTTCAAATATAGTTGCCAACTCCAACTACAGTACTGTAATCCTCTCGTTCATGCTTACTTTCCGCAAGATTTGATTTTATACCAAGAGACAGAAAAGCCGACGGGATGGCTTAGTCATATGGCTTAGCACAGTGGTTCTCAACCTGTGTTATGTGTACCACTAGTGGTACGCGGAATATGTTCAGGTGGTACGCGAGCAGCTTTGAATTATTGCAACAATTACCTTTTGGGTTGGCTAAAATATGCGAGAACGCTTTATCTTCCATATACTGTATGTATTCGCTGAAAAAAAAATAGTTGAATAAAATAGTGAAAATCTTAATTGTCATTAGATCTTCAAAGTAGCATTAATTTAGTTGCTGTAACTAACTAATCAAAACACTTTCAAAATCAATATAAAATGTTTCGAAATAGTAAAGTATAGGAACAATTTTTCTTGGGTCAATGGTCGGAGAAACGTCTTATGGATCAGTCCAGTCGCCCACGCCTGCTATTGTCCACGAACAAATCGAGAGGGACATGTTTTCGCAGACAGCAAAAGGTTGAGAACCACTGCTTTATATTGTGGAGACAGATTAGTATATAATTTAATTAGTAGTTAGAACTTGAGACGTAGCCTACGTTCTGTATTATGAATCTACGGTATTAGTTTCAAAAACGTAGGCCTACCCTATTTGGACTCTAGCTGTGACTTTGATTAGCGATATATTTCAACCCTAAAACTATTCCTCACGCCAATATAAATCAGCAAACAGGCAAATCAACAAAAACAGAAATCACACTAAATACCTTTTTAACATTTTAGGTAATAAAACTTGCTGAAAATGCGGTAATTCGCTATCAACTGCGTAGATTTGTTTGCATTACTTTTCCATGGAGCATAAGAATATTTAAAAACAGTGTATATTAAGAAAGCACATTTGTACACAAAACATTCACCCATACAGCAAACAGTAAAAACAATAGATGAAATATACACAAAATCGGGTTTCATACCAAAACCACCTTCGCTTAATTTTTACACAATATGAATTTAGAAATAAAATAGCGAAACTAGTAGTTGAAAATAGATGGATATTAAAAAATCTGGTAATGATATAGAACTCGCAATCAATATGGAAATTCAATGCATGTGATTAATTGCTATTGAAAATCGGGTAAAGGCATTCTGTGATATTTGCAGTACTGTAATGAATTTGTAACGTTTTGGAATGCATTTCTCTGATTTTCAATTTCCACAAAATGTTTGGTAATACGACTGCAGTTTTTTACATTGAGAAATAAAAATTGTGAAATAGAAGGCATCAGGCTGTTGCTGTGACGAATTGTGCTGATTCGGGGGAATCTTCTTTCAAAATAACGACTTTGTTTCTTCTCCCATGCAAGTCATAAACATAACGATTTTTTCCACATTTTATAATTGCGGAGTCTGCAACATATCGTGGCGTGGATCTAACGTAGCGTCTGGAAATATTTTGTTTATGTTGAAACAGATTTTCATTTATTATTAGTTATCGATCTTTAGATCGGTAAGTATGTTGATAGGTATTTGTCTGTTAGATGCACGCAATATCTCAAGAAGGCGTGGTTGAATCTGCTCCAAGTTTTACATATACATTCATCATATCTCGGACCAGAAGCCTATTGATTTTAAATGAATTATGTCGTATAATTAGCGAGTTATTAATTAATTAGTGATTGGACACGCGGTGTCACTATACACTCATAGATCGAAACCGCAGTTTCGATCGATAAGTCTTTGGTCTCCGACCGATATTCTCGTTTAAGAGTTTATCCATAACAATTCATTTATAATGTGTCACGAAGTTCAGTTATCTAGTAACAAATTCTATGAATTAATAACAGAAAATTAACTCACTGATGGATATCTGCCATAAAACTGAATTGCAATGGAGTAGGATGATCCAGACTTTGTAGTTTTGTATTTCCTACTTCCATATATCGAGTAGGGCGGTTTGTTGCTATATTTTCGGTTCCCAGTATTAGCCCACATGTTGATGAGATGAGGCGCTGAAAATATTTATTTTTAAAGATAGTATGAAATTTGTCATATTGTTCTTAATGCTACCAATATGAACAAAAAATAATAATAACATAAATTATTTCTTGGACACTGCTTTTTTAATATAATGTAATATTTCGGAAAGACTTTGTATTTACCTCTTTTTCTTCGGCGGAAACATATGGTGGTGGTGCCCGTACTATTGTTTTTACTCCGTTGCGCAGAGGTCTTCTCATTCGCTTTACTGGCAGGGACTGCATCCCAGCAAGTCTTGCTTGTTCCTTTAGCCACATTCGATGAAGGTCGTTGGTGACGTCATATTCACGGTTGGCAAACCACATCGGATGATCGATACGCATTTTCCGAAGATGTCTGAATTAAAATGATTGTTACTGGTGCATATTCAAACGATAACATGATTACATGAAAAAAATTACATGAAATTATGCTTTCCGTATGATCAGATTTAAACTTATTGCTTGTGCTCATCTTCACAGACTTTGTCTGAATTTGGTTACCATTAGCCACTGTATTATGTTGTTAGTAAGTGGTCGCCCAGCAGTAAATAAATGTACATAAATACAGATGACGATATAAAGAACACCACAAGCTTTCCCTACTTACTTCTCAACATCCTGTCGAATTTTATTTCCCCGTTTATCATTCGCAGGTGCAGGTTTATGTGGCTGATATGACTGAAGCCTAGCCATTGCACTCCTGACTCTTGCATGAGAAAAATGGTGCTTCATGGGGACATCCTGTGGCGCAGTCATGAGCATGGGCCGGGGAAGTAGATTTGGATATGCCTTTCGTGGAATATACGAGGGCGAGGTGTCGAAACCATCTTCCCGTCTTCGAACTTCTAAATAAAACTTTAATTTTTTGGTCACTGCCTCAATGACATCTTTGGAAGAGCAAGCAACTTTCTCCGCATCTTGGAATTCCTTTAAAACAACAAGTTTATATATAAAATAAACTATGCCTGTTTGTACTGTTCACTTTTGTAGGGAATGACCGACAACACACCATAATTAAATTATCAATAAAAAGCATTTCATTATTTGCATATTTTTAAATCGGTTAAGTAAGATTAATTAATCTTGCCCATCACTCAGTAATCATCAAAAGTATCAAGCTCATTACTAAGAAAGAAGAATCACATTTAGAGTTTTATATACATAATAAACGCAAGTTAACAAGGGTCATGGAAGACTATTTTATCTAAATCCTGACTTATGCATATCGCCATTGGAATTCCTCGGCAGCCGATAGAGTCTTGAGCATGACAGTGACCTGAGGAATTAAAATCAACTGAACTCCTGTCTTGTCACAAAAGAGTCGACTTAAGTTTGTGAAACACTACTGAAACATGACTGTGACCGAAAGACATATCAGACAAGCGCTCTATATATTAGAATGACAGCTCTCATCTGTAGCAATATAAACGAGATTGCGATCGGCGACTTATCGATCTTCAGCAAAAAAAAAATGAAATAAAAAAAAATTTAATTAATACTCGCTAATTATACGACATAATCCATCCAAAATCAATAGGCCGAGATATGATGAATGCACATGCAAAATTTGGAGCAGATTTAATCTCGCTTTCGTGAGATATCGCGTAACGTACGAAAGTGTCTAACAGACAAATACCTATCAACATACCTACCGATCAAGATCGATAAGTAATTACTTACCATGATATCGTTTTTTATTACAGTGAATACCGCTAATCAAAGTGTATCTGGAATACAGAATCAATTCGTTACGATTTGTCTGTCCGTCCAATTAGTTTCTCACTTTATATGAGATATTTAACGCGATAGTTTCCAGTGAGAAATCATACTCAAATGGAAATATGCCTAATTATATATAAATTAGATCACATGGGCTTTGCGCTTCCTACAACCAATTACGTATATAAGATTTTTGATTTTTTGTTTAGAATGAATTTTTAAGCTCTAGATTTGACACATATTTCAGTTGTTGGTCTGGGCTTTACATTGCATTTACATTACATTTATTTTAATTTAAGCTCAGCGATAATATAGTCTCGATATCGATTGGCTCGTATTTTTCTCATTTCAATGCGGAGATGTTCTATTTCAAGTTCTGTTTTCTAGTAATCTGTCTCTCCTCTTCGCTTATGTTGCTACTGAATACGCTGGTAGCTATTTGATGTTCGTCATTCCAAATTCACCGTAGGCCTAAATTACGGCATCTTCACAATTTATTGTTATCCCACTTCAAGTTTGTCAATATCGGTTTATAAGTTTGTCAATATCGGCCTACTCATCATGTTTGCTATAACCAAACCGAAACGCCTGCTGAACGTTTCCTGGTAACAGTTTTCCATAAAAGTTTATCCGCACTTTTAGGAACAAGTGGAGAAATTTAATTTTGTGTAATCCTTGTCTGATATATTGTCATACTATTTTAAGATTTTGATCATGTACCAAGTATGATCGACTGATAACCTGTGACAAAATCACTCCCCGTGTAGTCCAGTACTGGATTACATAATAATTGTTATCGATACTTTGAAATTCAGTCAACATCATTTTACAGTTTTTTGTTATCAACCAGGTTCCATAGCCGAGCCCGGTTGGGCGGATTCGAATTACACTGAACATATTATGAAAACAATGTTTAATCCATGGCCTATTCAAGGCGGGATAAGCTAATCTCTTGTGAAAACAACAATACTTTTTAATCGACAGCCTTTGTGATTTTGGTTCTGGCATTTCGTGTCTTATTCTCAGATGTATTGTTCGGAGAATTCCTATTGTTTTATGATCAATTAATTAAAATGAATTATTGTTGGTAGAGCTCACGCCGTGAGATTGTGAAAGTGTTTAGCAAACATGTAGGAACCACATGTAGATGTTGTCAATAAATAAGAGTAATATTATTCACAATTATTCTTTGAAACGCAGCGACACCTATGGAGGCGAGGTGGACGACATCAACACATATTTCTACCGTATTCTGCCGATAAACGTTTTCAACACATTTCCTCTTTGTTGACCACAGAGTTACCGCGGTACTAGTTTGAACCATTTGTCCTAAGCTAGAAGATTGAGCGAAACTGCTTACAACAGGTGGCGACTTCATTTTGGCATTACAATCTAATGACTTGATTGGTGAACCAGCAGTGGCGTATCTACGTAAAATGGCGCCTTAGCATTCAACAGCCAACTTCATACAGACCAGCGCACACTATTCATTTAAGCTTGAAACATTTAAAAATCTTATTCGCAATATCAATTAATTCGAACAAGATTTATGGAAATGATAAAAAACGTCACTCTGCGAACAGCTCGTGTAGACTATTTATTGTAAATTTCTACCATAATGTACCATATGAGAAATTAGAACTCTTAATGAATATTTGTCACAACCTAGAAAGAGCAAGCGTTTTTATGAGTTCGGAATATATTGCTGCCATTTTTGATGGATTGTCCAACACAAGCCCTATGCCAAAACACGGAAAGGGGCCATGGTCGATTTGCCCCACTCTGGCACAATATCTTGCTCTGAACTTCTGGATGAAGGCGCCAAATTGTCTGCAATGGGTAGAGGATATAGCTCCATCGTGACATTCCGCATTAGACAATCGTGCGGAGCACTAAGGAGTTTTAGTGACAGTAGTATGGTCAAGGCGAGCTTGTGCACAACATCTCTTTCTAAGCTTGACTCATCTCCACTTGCGTCATATTAAACAACATGTGTGTCATATATCTTTATTAGTACTTTAGTAGTAACGAGGAATGTGCAATAAATGAAAAAAAAATGATTCTAACATTAACATTATATCAAATTACATAGAGAAAATATTAACAACACAGAATGAAGTTTATTGCACCAGCCAATCAGTACCCAAGCTATCTATTCTATTTCCAGTTTTCATCTTATTGGTGAACATGGATGAAGCAATAAATAAACAGATTATACTTTTTGTTGAAAAACTGAATGAAGTGTTACGAATTGTTGGAAATGAAAGGATATACGAGGTACCAGACATTAAAACAAACTTATGAAAATAAAATACATTGCACGACCCATAGCTTCAAATGATACAATCTGCTACAGAAATATTAATATAAGAACATCATAAAGAAATTGAATTCAAATATTTGAATAAAGATATAGTGTAAGAAAAACTGGAATATAGAGCTTCGAATCACCATGTTGAAATGAAGGGAACTATCGAATATCTGATAGGAACTTAAATGAAGAAATTTGGAAGGAATGAGAAAATGGAGGTCAACACAGTCAAAAACTGAAATAAATACAGACTAGTACCTTGATAACATACATATGAGCAAATGATTCTATTTCCACCTAAAAATACGATTGAAAGTATATATATGATTTGACAAAAATGTATAACAGATAAGCATTATGTCATCTTCAGATAGGATATGCTGAGAAAATAGGTAAAAAAGATTTTTTTTTAAAGTTCAGACACTATGAAAATGTTTCTCAATGGAAAGGTAGTGTGACCAATATTGTCCAAAGTTCATTAAAAGAAAAAATTTGCATTTTGCATCCAAAAGTGTTGATATCACCATGCTAGTAGTGTCGAAAATCAAAATATATTAGGCTCATATTTCAGTTTTATAATATCAACCAGTAAGCCCACAAGTCAAGTCTTAGATTCATAAGATAGGATTTTCCTAAATATCCTGCGAGAACGAAAGTCGATAAAACAGCTTGATCGTATGACGAACCATGGTCTTTCTTATCAGCCATGTCTTGAATGGGAACATTTATTTCAGATGCATGGAGTTGATTAGAAGCCATATGTAAATAGGTGATTCGAGAGTTCACATATGCAATAAATTTAAATGTTGTATGTATAAACGTATGTATAGTTGAACCGAGGTCTGTGGCAGAGCAAATAGAAGCGGACTTAACGCCCTATGATTAGCATGTCATTCTCACAAATGTCCAGCGTACATAAACCTGATCAGTACATTAGTATGAATACCTGAACAATAGCAGTCTGTCAAAACACATCGAAACTATCATATCAAAAATAGATCACCTCGCTTGGTACAAGCCCAAGTTAATTTTAAAATTGTTTCATTGTAGGGATAGAACACACCCTGACAAGCAAATAAATCAAAAGATTATTTCTCATTACTTAGTAATATTGTAGAACTTTTTTCTCAATTTCTTTTTTTTAAGACATAATTTCATCTATTAAACAATCCTTTTAACTTTTTCGTGTCACTTTTCTGAAAAACATCAGTCAATACAGATGAACTAGCTGCCACACCACCATATAAACACTGTTCAGAATCATGTAAACCTGTGCATTCCACTGTTGGGGCATACCCACTGTCCCACACGCCCGGAGGTGACTTGATACAAATGTCATGAAGTGTGCAGGGTACTCGAGGCCTTATCCTGAAAGAGTGTAATAAACCTCTGGCTTTTCGTAGCACAACATGTCCGTTCATTTGCATAGCAAGATTAGAAAAATGTAAAAGCATTTCGTCCGAAGCTAGTTGGTTTTCTATGACATCAAGTCCATATAAAGTGATTATTGCAACGCACACAAATAAGTGGAAGAAGTCAGTCTAAATATAAGGTATAATATTAGAAAACCAGACATATAATCTAGACCAGAAGGTTGCAAGTCATATATGTAACAACGTGTAATTGCTGATTATTTAGAATTGGTTATAATTTTGTGAATAGTATGCTTTATCCGTCGTTCAAAATAAATGGTAAATAAAATTGCCAAATTAATGCTGTAAATAAATTTGAAATATTTTTGCTCATAGATCAGACCTAAATCGCCAGAAAGCTACAGAGGTTATAGTATGTTAGGATTGAGAGCTAGTATGTTTTTAGGACCGGTGCTTCAAGTACTAATTTCTACCAATTTCTTTCTAATGAAATATTCCCTTAAAGTTTACTAATGCTTCAGGTAAAACTGGTATAGAATGTGATTTGCTACATTGAAATAACTCATAGGAACATTTCAATAGAGTCAGAGCAGTATCTATATTATGTTGGTGTCACACTAAATTAAACTCCAACCTAACTTTTTAGTATTATGCTATTATGAATATACGTACCTGATAATGGGCCCAACATGATTCCCATATCATCAGGGCTTCGTTTTCAGGAAATTCTCGTTTAAAACAGAGTAAAATCCATCGATGAACAAACAGAAGTTCCATGGCATCAGGTCCACAAGTTTTCAGATGTTCGTAAAACTCTGGTTGCATGAGACGCAATAATTCTCGCAAGTATAACTGAAAATGTGTTACATAATGATTGAATAATATAAGCAAAACTAACCATATTGAAATATTATAGCTTTTAGTTTGGTACATCAAGTTGGAAGTGTGTATTTAAAATTTTACTTAGGCCTATCCATTATCATACAGTTGAGATGTGCTTGTAACATTGACCCCGTTCAATCGCAATGCTGACACTCCGATTATTAAGAGATTTGCCAAAATAGAAAAAAAACGGTCAATATACATGAAATTTAGATGAAATGGGACCAGGCAAAGAAACTTCTAAAGTATCACTTTAACAAAACATTTAGGTATATAATTGTTATAGTTGACTCTAGATTTTGTTTAGGAAATGTAAGTTAAATTATCAAAGATTATGCATCAGATCATTTTAATCAACAATTGAGGGAAATGGTCCTCAGTCGATGGCTAAGCGCAACTAATGATTGATCTTCGTATCTCGAAGGTTGATGTTCGAAATGACAAAGTGAAACCATCACAAAAATGATTTCACACAACCTATTGTTGGTTAATCTTCATTCTCCAAACTTGTTCATACAATGTTAAATTTGTTAGCAAGTCCCATACCAACTGTATTTATTCAATGAATCAGGCTGCATTATTTTACTTTTCAACCGAGAAAAATGACACTCATCACATAATGCCTCAATATTAGCCATGTGTTATCGTACAGAGAATAATTGAATAAGTTATCAAATTCTAAGAGAGTCATTTGAAACATTCTATTTCATGAAAAAAAAGTTATTGTTTTAGGATGACTATCATACCAATTGTTTTTCCATATCATCATCTTTAGGTGAACTTATAAAAATAGTTCGTTGCATGAGTCCAACAAAACACCAGAATGTCTCTGCTTCTTCATTTAGTTCAATTAATAAAGGAGCAAGCAGGTCAGACATTCCCTGAAATGCATTGAATAGCCTTGTTGTTCCAAGTCATTGAAGATTTAAAGTACTATCATGAATGGAAAATTTTACTCATATTAGAGTAATATAATAGACGTAAAAGAGATTAGGCGACTAGCAGGAGTACTCAAGGGGCATTATCGTTGTTCAAATTGGCATCGTAATCAAATATAAAACATCAATCAATATAACCCTCTTATTCTCAAATACAGACCAGATACTGCAGCATCATAATTGAACTTTTAGGTTTTTAAACTTGTTCACAAACTTCTGGCAGTATATATCAGTAATTTAGAACTATTGATCTTTAAAAGCGAAAGACTTAATATTTATAGGCGACCATTAGAGCGCCAATAGCTACAGAGACCATGAATCATTATAGTGTAAAATTGTACATCAGTAAATTTTGATTGACACGAGACTGAAGCGGTTTCTGTCAATACGATCAGGAAAACAGCTATGCCGGAGCAAATTCCACAAAACTGAAGTTCTTGGAATAAAACTTAGAATAGATATCTAGATAATTGTTTATACCTGTGTATATCCTGTGTCTGTATAGATGGAATAGTTCAACAGAATATGTCTCAATACATCTAGATTCGGGTTACCATCGCCCTTATAAAATGGATGTGCACGATCAGTTCTCAGGACATCTTTTTCAACTATGCAAGCGACTCCCTTTTCAAAAGTGTTTTTGTCATCTTCAGACATATTTAACCTGAAAATAAAACATGGAAATAAAGGCAGAAGTCGGTAATGGCTGAGTGCTTAGGGCGTTCGAATTGAGTATAATAGTTGATAAGTCAAATATCTTTGGTTCTAACTTCATACCTACCACATGATGCAGCATATAATAAATCTGGTAGGCAATACCGAACCTGGAAAATTTCCAGTTCTTTCACAAAGAATAGCCCCTTGAATTGCTTGAAGTAAAGGCATGAAACGCTTTTCAAGATAAAGGCATGAAAATGAAACCTCATATGATAAAGGCCATTTTTGAAACCATATTTGTGTATGTAGTAGCCTATATGTTGTATAAATATTGAAAGCCAAGAAATGGTTATTTGCATACCTATGGAAAAGGTTACAACAAATCAATAATTCGAGCCATGTTGGGAAATAAAAATAAAAAATAACAGAGGTCTGAAGCATCAACCTAGTAAATCACCAAAAAAAACAAAAGAGGTCCGAAGTAGGATCCTTGTATATCACCAACCTCTTTGTATTGAGTTGATGATATTCGACTTCTTTTCTAGATCTCATCTCTTGTCTCTCATCATATGTTGATAGGAAAGGGTAACATTTCAATAAAAATAACCAAACGTCAGATCTTAATTCAGGATCCATTCCACCAAAGAATACAGCCTGATATTATAAAAACGCATGAATTGTTGAATATATATAGAGTATATAGCAGGGATGTGAACAATTAATGCTCCGAAACACACAAGATATACATTTTGAAAAGGTATACCCCAACAGTTTTGTGATATCAACTTTGAAGGTGGACTAAAATGTTGTTTTTTGTAATATTGGCTATTTTGAGACAATGGTATCATAGTTTTACAAATATATCAGAATATCAAAAAAATACAAAATAGTCAATCCAAATTTGATTTGAATGGAGAAAAACATTCTTGGAATCACATGATGTCGAAAAACTATTCTAATTTCATTATTAACAAAATGCTACAGCTAGATGAAAATCAAGTATTCGGAACATAAAACACAAGCACTAAATGTTATATAATAATAAGCATACTTTTCTGATATTATATTCGTCCTGTACTTGACCAAATTCATTGACATGAAGTGACCATGCATCTTTGGATAAACGTCTGTATAAACCTTCCTCAGGATGACACTGACCTACTGATAACTGGGGTCCGCATATTGAAAAATGTCTCACAGCAAGTTGGTCTGTAATCTGCAAATAATTTTTTCTTATATATATATATAAATTGTTATATTTAATAAAGATCTCAATTAGAATAATCAATGGTAAGTCAATTCCATAAGATTTAATTAATAAAGATGAAGAGTAAGTGCTGAAACTACATTCTCATCACCACATAGTGACCCAAAGACAGAATTAAAGGCCATTTGAAACAATACTTTTGTGTGAAGCGTCGTCCTATTTGGGTACAATCATACACAACTATTCATGTGTAAATAATTTTCCTCGATTGGTGTAGATATAGACAATGAGAAATTTGTGGGTATTGATACTTAGGGGACCACCCTGATGAAAACCAATTTGAAAATCCAAATATTTTTTCAATTAAAGCAAAACCTTCTCATTAAACTTAACTGCTTTGGATGCACACATAAATTATATAAATAAATAATACAGTTGCTTGTAATAATAATTGTTGCTTGTTGGTATAGATGAGACCACTGTTAGTGGTTACCAGTACCAGACTGTGTTGATATTGCATTTATGATGTACATACCAAAAATATACACTCATGTTATTATTAAAAAGCAATGACATAAATATAATAGCAGTGGAATTGTAATTGACTTGCTACATCTCTCACAACCGTTGGAAATTTTTAGTTACACAGAAAACCATCACTGCAATCTTTAGAAAATTTTTTTGTGCAAAACAAAACAGCCTGATAGCTCAAATACTGCAGCATGCTCTAAAACAGTTGATATAACTTTTCTGCACCAAAGAATTGGTAACATGAGATGGACTGAGGTAATATGATATGGTCACCTCACCTGAAACTATTTGAAATTGCTTCTTTGCGGCTTTTCACATATTGATTTTGAATGAGACTAATGTTCAAGTATGTGAAGCAATGAGGGCATGCATTCGAAACAGTTGGAATTGGAAATTGGTATAATCCAGTCATTCAAGAGAATTCAAATTTCAAATAAATCAAGATTTTAAGCAAAGATTATTCGAAGCCCATCTATATTCGAAGTTTACCATATTAAGTTCATAATATAAATGCTTATTAAAGAAATCAAATCTTAGTATGCATCAAATACCCAAGATCTTTTTACAATTTAAAAAATGATACATAATATAAAGATAAAATGATAATTTTTTAAATAATATTATTAAAGATACTTTATGGACAATCTACAAATTTAGGTCATTGGTGATTTCAGCCGAATTATTTCAAGTCCATACTGTAATACATATATATATATACCTTATCACTTTGCTTTACAGCTAGCTTCCATTGTTCTAGTATTTCTGCAAGTGCATCCAGGCCACCATTATGAAAATGTAATATTTTATATTGAGATTCTCGACTGGCTATAACCAACTGTCCACTGTTGCATTTATCATTGCTGAAAAAGTATATTAAACGATAAAAAGACAATCAAAGATATAAAAATAGAGCAGGGTTTCCCAAGCAGCAGTTCACGAGAGGTCTGTGACTGTACGGGGGCCGCAACAATACGAAAGTCTGAAACCTATACAAATATATCATAATCTTAGCAAACTGACGACAGCCTGCCAGTATGCAACTTACGGTACGTATTGATTCAGACTTCAGACAGATGAATTTTATTTCGTCAAAAAAAACATTACCCTTCCTAGTTGATTACGTACAGAAATTGATACGACATAGGATAGGGGTCGATCGAAATACGATTCAAAAACAGGGGTCTACGGCCTGAAAAGTTTGGGAAACCCTGAAATAGAGGATGTCCCCAGACAAAACTAAATTGACAGTTTAAAAAATTGTTAAAAATGAATGCAATGGACAATCTTAAAGATATAAGGTTGAAAAATGTGTTTCTAATCATATTTACAGAAGTTTTATGATTTAGAATGGCAAATATATATAAAATGATGATTAAATAACATACGTAGATGGACACACCCAATACAAAACAATAGTAAATTATTTCAGAAAGCTAACAAAAATTGATTTCATAGTAGATATATCGGATGGTGCTATTTACTAATGGCGGTACATTGTGACTTATAGCTTGCTTTGGGTTTAGATGAAAATGTTTTATGATCAAAATTTCATTCTAATGTAAATGAGAAATAATAGAATTCACGGTATGTCGTCTGTACAAAACCCTGAATATCCAGAAATAGACTGCATACAGCCTAGAAAAGGGGTTGTTAATAACATGGGTTAACAGGCCCTAATTCATCTTTGATAGTGATTTCGAGGGTTTTAAGAATAAAATATTATTAGATAATTGACTCAAATTTTAATGGTCAAGTCCATTAGCGTCACTTAACAGAACACCAAGAAACAATAAGATCTATCTAGTCATCCTAACTCATTGCACATTACAATTGTTAATATATTCCATATTTTTTGCTTACTTTTTGACAATGATGTCATGTATTTAAATTTTAATACAAAATATTAATATTTGTTTCACATGGGGGGGACTTTTCGTATTTGTCAGAATTTTAAAAGGTCTGTGAATAGAAGATTTACATATAAACTGCCTTGGAAAAAAGAAATAAAGCAAAGATTGCAATTTAAAATTTGCTACTGCTAAGATAAATTGAATGCCTAATCATTAATTAATCTAACAGGTTATTCATAATGAATGTGAATAATATTTGACAGCTCATTTTAACATATTGAATGTCACGGTTTGAGAATTATGTAAAGAACAGAAATTGAAAATGCGTCATAATTACTAAATTAGAAATAGAATGAAACACAATTGGCACACTTATTTCATAAGTAATTCAAAGTACATTTCTATTTCTAGACATAGGCAATCACGCTTGACAACTAAACTTCTATCTCTAAATCAAAATGAATGTAGGCAGGTACACTCACTAATGTCATGATAACTAAATTGCTAAATATTACTTGAAAACAAGATTTTAGTTTTTTCAGGCCCATACTATTAAGTATAAGAGAAAATTTTAAAAATTCACAGGTCCACTTTGCGTCATGTCAAATAATAAATAAACCTATAATTAATAATGCAAGAAAGATCTGAAAAGTTCAAGTTCAAAATAGTAATAATCAGTAGAGATTACGCGAGACTAACTCCCAATCCTTAATCAATGCATTAGCGCTGGTGGATCCGAATGCGTATAATGCAAGGATGGTATAGCAGGAAAAGAAATACCAATATTAGACTACCTCAGACGAGCAATTGTTGTGAACTGCATGTCTGAGGAAGTCTGATTTTGGTCAGACGAAATGTTACAGAACTACATTTGTATTAGTGTGCTGTGCTGCAGAACTCTTGAATTACATAGTCGAAATAGTAATATGCAAAAATGCAATAAAAACACGAATCATTCCATAATGTCACATTAATGTGCAACCCATGCTTGGTCAAGTAGATTAAAATGCTATTTGATAGAAATTCGACCAACTGGATATCAACCAGGAAATTAAGGCCATAAATCAGATCTTAATGATGACAAGCAGAAATCAATAAGATCTGACTTTCATAATAATGAATAATTTATTAACCTTAGTATGTGTGGAACTGCTACATTTCATTTCTTGACATATGGTCACAGATAATCAATTTATGAAAAACTTGAATTGATCAAGCAATCGTACCAATGTAGTAGAGGCAATAACAATAAATTTTCACATTTTTAAGGGTTCGAGCATTGGAGGTACGGTAACTAATGTTCAGAACTGCGAAATTTCTTGACATATGGTCGCAAATAATCAATTTATGGAAAACTTGCATTGATCAAGAAATCTAAGCAATGTAGAAAAGGCAATATCAATGAATTTTTCAAATTTTTAAGAGTTTAAGCGTTGGAGTTACCTACGATAAATGGCATCGCATGTTACCGTAAATATATCTGGTTGAAACCCAGACAATCCAGAAGTGTATCTAACAATACAGAGATAACTAATTTTGTTCGCCCACTTAACATCAAGTTGTATAAAGGGACTGATACCTATAGGCAGAGGGTATATTCACTTAGCTAACACAGATAGTTCCGGAACTTGTAATAGAACTAAAATAAGGAAAAATCCTAACCTGGTACATATACTAAGGGAGTACCGAAATCCCATTATAAGCACCTAACCCAGAATGTGATATATTGTGTCTTCAATCCCCGAACCGGAATGACTGCAGTTCTTCCAAACTACGGTATCAGCATATCTAATTGTAGCTGCGCCCCCTTTTTAGAATTCGTCAAGTCTCGTGCCCACCTCAAAAATAACTATCTACCAATAAGATACAAATAACAGAAAGTAAGACGAAAGTATGTTTTATTCAAAAAACATGTTGAAAATACGTGGATGGAACGTAAATAATAAAATAAATGAAAATTTTTGGAATGTTAATATCCAAAATAAGGCAGACAAGATAAGGCAAGCCCCACCGTTTGAAAACCACTGCTCTAAATCTAAAATTATAAAAAAATTGAAAAACATCTTACCTGAAAAACAGACGTAGTGATCTCATTTGTCCCAGATCAACAGTGAAAACGCCGCAAGCTTGATCTCTGGCAGGTCGTCTTACTCGACCTTTGCTGTAAGGCAGGGGGCTTGATGGACAAGAACTTGAGGAAGAATTTGTAACATAACTGATTGAATTTTCAGGAAATTGCATGTTATATATAACAGGTGGGGAAATCGGATGATCCTAAAATAAAGTTCATTTATTAGAAGATTGTGTCATTATGTGTTTATTATCTTCTATTCAACACAAATAGAAAATTCTTACCTCATCTTTAGGCAAAGGCAATTCATCTTTAGCATTGATCTGTTTTTCAATGTCCTCTTTTTTGTCAACATTAAAAATTTGGATGTTTTCATACATAAATTTGGAGACTTTCTTGTTTTGTATCTCATGGAGTTCTGTACTCGAAAGATTTATAAGTGGAGGCCTTGTGAGTAAAACAATGTCATCCGGATCTATATCATCAATTTCATCATCAGAAAGATTCGAGTCTGGACCTTCTGTTGAACCTTTCGAAAGCAAAATAAATATTTGGCCTGGAATATTTTAAGGTTCCCAAACTATCAAACTCATAGTATATTCACTTTTGTTTTTTTTGCAATAAAACATGTGACACATTAGATACAAAATTTGAATTTGACATTTACTGTAATTGCAAGGAAATATTTCGTAATATATGCATATTTCAATGCAATATGTGAGCTTGTTTTTGTGCACATGAAGCTATCATAAAAGGGGTGAAACTTCAAAAACTTCTCTCTAGACATCGATTTTAACAGATTTAACTGTAATATTATTATAAAATTAGAACTTGGTTTGATATCTCGCCATGCGCTACTGTGTCTTGATGTACAGTTTAGGGAATATTGGGCTAATGTCACAGCAAAGAACGAAATAGTCTAATGTCTTACATTCTCAATAGAAATTAGATAAGCCAATTGGGTTTCACTGCAACAAATAACTGACGATAACCATAACAAAATAAGAAAAACTAGCAAAAAAAAATAATTTCAGCCTACCTGTTGATATGTGAATTATATAGCCTACTTGCAAGTGATGCATACAAACTACATATACCAATTAATACCGCCCAATATAAAAAAAACAAATATATATTACCACTGCAAATGCTGACATCAGATAAATCTGCACTCCCATTACTGTATTTCCTTACATTTCCATGTGGTTGTGGATTAGACAAACTGAAGTTAGTTTCAATACTAGCAATATTATGGCCATCTTCATTTACATGATTTCCAATGTGATTTATATTCTGGAACAAAATAGAGCACTTTAAAATTAGAAACAAATTAGTAATATGAAATTTTTCAAAAGGATAATTTTTGGAAATATGATGAAACTAAAAGTTATTTATATAATTCAAAAGTCCGCTCAAGTGTATTTCAGTTAGTGTGCATCATGATGCTCAAATCATATAAAATATTTATCTTTATTCTATCTATAGCATTCTACACATATGAGTCTACCGTCCTGTGTTTGGGCATAAAAAAGGAAGGACATGTAGTTAGGCTCGTGTAACCCCCCAGCTTACCGGAATAAAAGTGTTAAATACCTATTAAGTTAAATTACTTAATGTTCTTAAAAATATAAAAAAACGACATAATAAAGGTTTACTTCTAGGAAATATTTTTCAAAACGATGATTAATGAATACTCATCAAAATAAAAAAAGAAAATCTACTTAAACAATTTGCCTTTTTATAGAAAAAATAATAATGTGAGTTTGGTGAAATATTATCTCACAATCAATAAAGTATTCAACAAGAAATCTTTTATGCCAAGCATTTTAAATATTGACATCAGTCACACAAATTATCCCAGCGGCTACCGCCTTATAAAATAACACAATAAAAATAATATCAGTCATCATACGTTTCCAGAATCCGCAGTAATTAGTAACTCAGGATTTATATCATTGATGCATGTTAAACTTTCACAATGAATCGGGATAACTGCTGCATCTCGAACTGGGTTTCCACCATGTTTCAATCGTTTATTTGGTATCCAATTTAGCACAAGAGAAATCGCGTCGCCAGAAACTTTCGCAAACACTGTTAGATAACCTAAAAAAATGGAAAGAATAAGTTAAAATTGTGAGTAAAATGGCCTACAATTACTGAATTAACAGTAGCTGCTTGTACACAACCTTGTTTAGAGCTGTATAATAAGCTGGGTTAGGTTTAATTTTTAGTTTCAAATTAAATTGGTAATTGCTAAATATGAAAGTTTGGGGTCTTATGTAGTTTTGTACCTTAAGTACTTCTAGTGGGCGTAGTATAACAATTTTTGCACATGTCAATCCTCACCCCCACCTGACTATGCCACCCAAAAATTACGTCAATCACATCATAGAGCTTGCCAAAGTATAGGTACAATCGCCCAAAATTATATCTTAGCCAACGATAACAAACTCAGTAACCCCAGCGATCTCCCTCATATCGGGATCGTTACGAGAGAATGAGAGAAATAGTTTACTCCATTTCGGGTGATTGTCTGTGCGTCTTGAATGACAGTTACTGTGTATGTTACTGTGACGTCGTAGTGACTTAATTTTTGAATGATGTAGTCAGGTGGGGGTAGGAATAACATATGCAAGAGCTGAAAAGTAGTTGTGCCACGCCAACTAGAAGTGCGGTACTCGTGTGGTGAACATGGCCCTAAATAACAGTGCATACCTGGATAATGTTCTACAGAGCTTGCTAGTAGACCTTGAGGATGAACACATACATTGTTTTTGCTGTAAACAATTTCTCCATCAAGAGGTGGTGGATGATGATGTGTAGGTGATGGTTGGAATATCGTTTTGATGAACTTTGTTAATGACATGATAGGTTTATCACTGCGCCACACAGCCACAATTGTCACAGTAAAATATAATTTCCAAAAGTTAGATCACCATGCTTTCATTACAGGACCATCAGATAAGTTACTAATAGCTGGATAGAGTTAAAGTCTAAATAGAAAAATAACCTAAATATGGCTTGACAATTGAAAAATTAAACTCATAGAATACAGAGAACTGCAGCAACAGACAGTGCAATTCGACATACCGGTACTGAATGTCATCATAGATCATCTATCCATCGCTATATAACAGTATAATGGCAATACATCCCTTGCCTGTAATAAATAGTTCAGCGCGTTCCCCTTCACCCAATCATTGAAACATCTACTCACAGTTTTATTTTTTGTTTTTCAGGTTACTTCAAAGTGATTAAATGAAGTAAAACACATAAGGAAAAGATCAAACAAAGACTCCGATATCCTGTGAAATAACAATCTAACTCCTATATCCTTGTCTGAAATCAATACCCAAGAATGAAAAACCTCACACCCTTTGTAACCAATTTATTTCCATATCCTACTTTACTTAATTATAGTAATTTCACTGTTACCGGTAACTTTAATTACTTATTACAATCTGGACTATAATTTGGCAATAATAGGCTCTAATTTTTTTTTTTTTTTTTTTTTTTTTTTTTTTTTTTTTTTAATTGGTTCACTCATTGAGTGATTTCAATAAATATGTAAAAAATAAATAAACAAATAAAATAAATTATAGTCCACATTCCATTCATGATCCATTTGTTAAATTGAGTTTCACAGTATTTCCAGTTTGTTTCATCAGGCTCTAATTTTGGGAATGAAATGGTCTCGCCCACCTCTTCATGCACCCAATTCTGGCAACTTTGGTTGGGCAACTTGGCATTTGATTGACTCCAACTATAATCAGTTTGGCAATATGTTTCCAACAGAATCTTACTTTTATATTTTGATTAACGATTAGAAGAGCGATCAATTTGGCAATGGCAACAATTACAAAATTATCAATATGGTGTGGCAAATAGTTTTATTTTCTTTTCTAGTATTTATTTATTTATTTTTGTTTTCTCTATAGTATACCCTAAATTTATCGCGTTTTATTCTTACTTAAATAACTTCTCAGTGGTTGTGTGTGTGTGTGTGTGGCTGGGGGTGCATGTGAGCGTGTGTGAAATAACTCAATAATTTTAGGTGAGTAAACACGTACCACTTCCTCCTGGCAAAACCTTCCATCTTATATTTTGTACGTTATAAACCTTAAATAAGGTTTTGTTTGCTCCCCTGATTTCATAATCAGTTTTTATTTATTTGTTTTTATCTGTCAAATGTATTGTTATGCTGATTATGGAGTCGAAACAAACTTATACTTATTATGTTATTCAGATTAACAAGCTGACAAGGCCTGCCCCTTCTGGGGCAACCCTAAAATGCGGGAAACGGGAACGGCGGGAACTACGGGAAATGCACTAAAATGCGGAAACTGCGGGAACGACGGGAAATTGCAAAAACTAAAATGCGGGAACTAAGGGAATGACGGGAACTACGGGAAATTTTACTAAAAAGCGCGAAATTTCACAAAAAGCGGGAATGACGGGAAATCGCTTTAAGGTACGGGAAATATTCATTTTGGGGTATGTTTAGGGGAAATTGTTCTAGAAAGCGAAAGCAATGGTTAATATACGCTTGGGGGTGTATGTACGTGTAAATTTATCTAAAATGCGGCAACGACGGCAAATCGCGTTAAAGTACGGGAAATACTCATTTCAGAGTATGTTTAGAAGAAATTGCACTAGGAAATGGAAGCAACGGGAAATATACGCTTGGGTTGTGTGGATACGGAAATTTCACTAAAAATCGAAAAATTTCACAAAGAGTGGGAGTGACGGGAAATCGCTCTAAGATTCGGGTAATATGTATTTTAGTAAAATTACCCCGTACATGTACACTCAAGTATAAACGGCACTCCGGAAGTATGTGCAACAAGATGACGCACAACCTGAACCCTAACCTGGTATACATACTATGTTCAGGTTGTGCGTCATCTTGTTGCACATACCTCGGGAGCGCCGTATAAACTTGCTGTTGCTTTTGCTATTCAGTGCATATTTAGCCCACACATACTCTAAAATACATATTTCCCATACCCTAAAGCAAATTCCCGTCATTCTCGTCTTTTGTGAAATTTCCCGTGGTTCCCGCAATTTGAAATTGGCTATTTCCCGTCGTTCCCGCAGTTCCCGCTTTTTAGTGCATTGCCCGTCGTTCCCGTTTCCCGCATTTTAGGGCCCTAAAATGCGGGGAACTGGAATGACGGAAAAAGTTACTAACAAGCGGGAAAATGTTACAAAAAGCGGGAATGACGGAAAATCGCTCGAAGATAATGAAATATGTATTATAGTACGATTACTACGTACATGCACACTTAAGAATAAACGGCACTTCGGAAGTATTTGCAACAAAATGGCGCACAACCTGAGCTTTAACCTGGTACACATACTTGCTTCAGGTTGTACGCCATCTTGATGAACATACTCGGGAGCACTGTATAAACTTGCCCTTACTTTCGCCTTCAGTGAAAATTTACCTCACACATACTCTAATATACATATTTCCCATACCCTAAAGCAAATTCTCGTCATTCCCGTCTTTTGTGAAATTTCCCGTAGTTCCCGCAATTTCAAATTGACAAATTCCTGTCGTTATTTTGCTATTCAGTGCATATTTAGCCCACACATACTCTAAAATACATATTTCCCATACCCTAAAGCAAATTCCCGTCATTCCCGTCTTTTGTGAAATTTCCCGTAGTTCCCGCAATTTGAAATTGGCTATTTCCCGTCGTTCCCGCAGTTCCCGCTTTTTAGTGCATTGCCCGTCGTTCCCGTTTCAAAGCGGGAAAATGTTACAAAAAGCGGGAATGACGGGAAATGAACTTTAAGATACAGGAAATATGTATTTTAGTGTAATTGTCCCGTACATGCACACTCAAGTATAAACTTCCCGTTGCTTCCGCCTTTCATTGCATATTTACCCCACACATACTTCAAATTACATATTTCCCGTACATCAAAGCAACTTCCCGTCATTTCCGCTTTTTGTGAAATTTCCCGAACTTCCCGCAATTTGAAAGTGGCTATTTTCAGTCGTTCCCGCAGTTCCCGTTTTGTAGTTCCTTTTCCCGTCGTTCCCGTTTCCCGCATTGGGAATGACGGGAAAATTTACTAATAAGCAGGAGAATGTTACAAAATGCGGGAAAGAGGGGAAATTGCTCTAAGATAGGGAAAATATGCATTTTAGAGTGTATGTGGGGGAAATTTCACTAAATAGCGGGGAATTTCACACAAAGTGGGAATGACGGGAAATTGCTCTAAGATGGGGGAAATGGGAATTTTATTGTGTATGTACGGGAAATTGTACTAGAAGGCGAGAGCAACGGGAAATATACACTTGAATGTGTAGGTACAAGAAATTGTATTAATTAAAAAGCGGAAATTACGGAAAATATTACTCATGAGTAGGAACTATGTGATATTTTGGGAAATTTCACTGAAAATTGGGTGGTATAAGGGAAACTCTCTAAATAAGGGGCGATGACGGGAACAACGTTAATTGATGGCGATGACGGCAATGAAAAGCGAACGTATTGACAAATGACGGGGAGAGTCGGAAGAGTAAGAGCACCGCGTAAAAATAAATAATATGTATTTAGCTGTTTTATATAGAAAATTGCAACAAAATATGTAAGTATTGAAAATGGCGGGAGGAGCAGAAAATTGCATTTCAAAAAATGTTGAAAGTTTTGGGGAGAGCCCATGGAATTTGGTTTTTGCATCATTGATTTAAGTGTATTTCACTATCTGTTGTTCGGAACAATTCAATTCGATCGTACAACTCTACAATATATGAAAATTTTGCATTACAATCCATTGCGTTTCTATTTGATCTCTGAGGGTATTCGGTTAATTCCACTAAAGTACCTTTAAAGAGAATCAGAAGGAAGATTCAGATTATAGGGAGCATTAAACTTATACTTGCATAAGACAATATTGGGCAACACCCTTTACACAAATAAAACAGCACTGTAATGATGCTAAGTTAACAGGAAATATCAATTTACTGAATAACAAAAATATACAAGTAACACTCGTAATAAATTACGTAAAACAATGGAAGACGGTTTAGATCGCCAGCTAAAAAACAGCTAAATACATATTATTTATTTTTACGCGATGCTCTTACTCTTCCGACTCTCCCCGTCATTTGTCAATACGTTCGCTTTTCATTGCCGTCATCGCCATCAATTACCGTTGTTCCCGTCATCGCCGCTTATTTAGAGAATTTCCCTTATACCCACTTGATTTTCAGTAAAATTTCCCAAAATATCACATAGTTCCTACTCATGAGTAATATTTTCCGTATTAATACAATTTCTTGTACCTACACTTTCAAGTGTATATTTCCCGTTGCTCTCGCCTTCTAGTACAATTTCCCGTACATACACAATAAAATGCCCATTTCCCCCATCTTAGAGCACTTTTCCGTCATTCCCACTTTGTGTGAAATTCCCCGCTATTTAGTGAAATTTCCCCTACATACACTCTAAAATGCATATTTTCCCTATCTTGAAGCAATTTCCCCTCTTTCCCGCATTTCGTAACATTCTCCCGCTTATTAGTAAATTTTCCCGTCATTCCCGTTTCTCGCATTTTACGACGGGAAATGCACTAAAAAACGGGAACTGCGTGAACGACTGAAAAAAGCCACTTTCAAATGGCGGAAACTACGGGAAATTTCACAAAAAGCGGGAATGACGGGAAGTTGCTTCAATGTACGGGAAATATGTATTTTAGAGTATGTGTGGGGTAAATATGCAATGAAAGGCGGAAGCAACGGAAAGGTTATACTTGAGTGTGCATGTACGGGACAATTACACTAAAATACATATTTCCTGTATCTTAAAGTTCATTTCCCGTCATTCCCGCTTTTTGTAACATTTTCCCGCTTATTAGTAAAATTTCCCGTCATTTCCC